AGACAAAAGATGGGGGGGGAGAGAATGAGTCAAAAGTGCAACACTTCCTCTCACCATGGCAGCCACGTGAGCAATGAGAAGTCGCTGTGAAGTGTGACAGCAGGCCTTGACGTCATGCTAACGGCTGCTACCCAGCAGAATGCACTGACGAAAAAAGACCCCCCTGCATGGTAGGCCTTTGATTTTCATCATGGCATTGTGCTGGGTCGCTCACTTGGCATAATGCTGTGATAAGCACTGTAGAAGTTTTCAGGAGGGTAGACCACTTCATTTTAAGTGTCAGATCAGTTAGATTATAATGATTGTGGGCCTCTGGACTACTGGCACAAAGCCTGGATGGCCAGGCAGTCAACAGGGAAGCCTGGACTCCAGTTAGGCTTTTGGTGTAGATTCCTTGATACTGGTCACAGGTAAAGTGCATGTGTTATAGCAGAGTAGCTAGTACTCGGTGAATAAAAAAAAAATTTTTAGTGTGCTCAGTGATAACTTATCTTCCTGCAAGAAATTATTGACAGATCTGTTGATCAGAGACCTAGTTGCAATTAGTAGATAGAGGATTGTCTCTATTGCTCCTTGCACTAAATTGTGCACAAGTTTAGCACTTCACGTAAAATATCTGCCTGCTATGTGTATGGCAGGGGTTTGCACTGGCATACCTTTTGTTTACCTTTCAAAAATTCTGAGTCATCAGCCAGGTCTCAGTCCAGACCTCCAGGTTGCTGGCCTCATAACTTATGGTACAAAATACAGTATATTACAAGTATATTGTGGTTTTTTTTTTTTTTTTAGGCAGAGCTTGTCATGTAGACTTATAAAGTAATGATCATTTTACCAAATCATACAAATTCATAGTGTAGGAAAAATCATTTTGAACATCTCTTACATATTGTTTCATTGGAGTTATGAATATCTGTTAATGTATTGCTCCACTTACGTTATGAGCAAATCTTAATAGGTATACCTTTGATATACCTTTGAAGAATTTCGAGAGTATATCTACTCTGAGCCCGGCCATGGGCCAGGCTCGTCTGGTGCTCGCCTGGTCAACCAGGCTGTTGCTGCTGGAGGCCTGCTGCCCCACATATCCATCACAGCCTGGTTGATCTGGCACCTGGTGAAGAACCTGGTAAAGATACTTGTCTAGTTTCCTCTTGAAGGCTTCAACACTTGTTCCAGCAGTGTTTCTGATATCTTCTGGTAAGATGTTGAAAAGTCTGGGACCCCGGATGTTGATACAGTGTTCCCTTATTGTCCCCACTGCACCCCTGCTCCTCACTGGGTTTATTTTACACTTTCTCCCATATCTCTGTCCTATTGATGCTAAAGAATTCTAACTGAATTTAGGCAGACTTAAGATAAGTTACATAAAATTGAACTAAATTACAGTATATTACATAAACTTAAGCATGGTTAGGCTAGTTTGCTAGGTTAATTTTGTTGTCAGATAGTTTGTATACTGCTGTATGTAAATTCTCACTAATATATCTCAGTAAGCAAGATAAAAGTTTAGAGATGTTTTCAGAGTAGTTTCACTCATTTGACACTGCAGTGAGAGCATGATACACTCTACTGAGCTAAACACGATATTGTATATATATTTTATTTTTAATTTTCAGTCAAGCTCTGGAGTTCCTGAGCAGTGAGGGACACGTATATACGACCATTGATGACGATCACTTCAGGGCAATAGAAAGCTAAACTCTGATGTGCATAGAATATGATACCTGAACTGTTGGGGTAATTTCTTGGATTACTTGAAAGGATAATGATAGATTTCAAAATGTCTATACAGTAATAAAGTTGTATTCTGTGGCAAGGTACTTTTAATGAATGAATTTCTTTTTCAAATTTAAATTTGATTCTTCAGTTACATTATTTTGTTAATTTTTGTTTCATATGTTTTGAATTGAGAGCAATTTTTGAATATTGTTTTAATAGTGAGAGATCCAAGAAGAAACTGATTGTTTTTAATATAAGGATACATTGTATGCAGAGTTTCAGTATCCTTGTTTAGTAAACATTAAGGTGCTACATGCTGATTATTATTAGGAAAATTTAATATAAGGAAATTGTATGGTTTAAGAAAAGGTGTACAGTACTAATACTGTATCTAAATTGGTCCTGATTAGTCAGTGTCTGAAAAACGAGATTTATGTGTAATGGATGTATACTTGGTACTTCTTTCTTTCAACACACCGGCCGTATCCCACTGAGGCGGGGTGGCCCAAAAGAAAAAAACGAAAGTTACTCCTTTTACATTTAGTAATATATACAGGAGAAGGGGTTAATAGGCCCTTGCTCCTGGCATTTTAGTCGCCTCTTACAACACACATGGCTTACGGAGGAAGAATTCTGTTCCACTTCCCCATGGAGGTAAGAGGAAATAAACAAGAACAAGAACTAGTAAGAAAATAGAAGAAAACCCACCGGGGTGTGTATATATATATGCTTGTACATGTATGTGTAGTGTGACCTAAGTGTAAGAAGAAGTAGCAAGACATACCTGAAACCTTGCATGTTTGAGACAGAAAAATGGACACCAGCAATCCTACCATCATGTAAAACAGTTACAGGCTTCTGTTTTACACTCACTTGGCAGGACGGTAGTACCTCCCTGGGCAGTTGCTGTCTACCAACCTACTACCTAGGACTTGGTACTTACTGACTTTATTTATTTTATTTATTTAGAATTTTCTGTGCTTTAGATACTTTTATGCTTGCAATGTTCTGAGAATGATTTCATGCATCAGTATAGAAGGAATTAATCTTTAGAGATCTGTGTGTGTGTGTGTGTGTGTGTGTGTGTGTGTGTGTGCGCGCGCGTGTGCATGCGCGCGCATGCAAGAACAGTACATTTTTAAATGTGCAACCCTTCCATGGGGGAGGGTATCTTGATGCTGGTGGAGAGCTCTTTACATAAGGAAGTGGAGCTACCATCTTTGTTCTTGGAGCAAACTTCTCTCTCATTCCCCAGGCAAATGACCCATATATAATGCAAGAAGGATGAGAATAGCATGATTAATACTTTATTAGTCTTCAACTTTATTGTTTACATAAGAAACACAGATGGAGCCAGTCCAGGGGCAGCTAAACAATACTGTATATATTCTTTAAACACGCTTAGTTAAACAAGAATATCAACAACCTGGATAATGCTCTGGGTGCTCCCGCCTGCCTGGCAGGAGGGAGACAGTGGGCATAAGTGGTAGGGACAGCCTGGGCAGTAGTAGCAGGCTTGGAGGGCATACTGGTATATTTACTTGGTATATTGCAATTGACCCCCTGAATGTATGCCTTGTCAACTAAGATGACCATTATCTGCCTCTCCTTTCTTTAGAGAAATGTCAGCTTGATTTTGTGGGCACTGCACACACACCTGACGTAGTAGGGTGTAAAAAAAAATGTTCCATCTTAAAATAATTTGATAAAATGGTGAAAACTACCCTAGTCATTTATGCTTATAGAAAAATCTAAATACTGTACATTCTAAAATCACAGTAGCATGAAAATATCTATTGGCATATAAGTAAAATAAATAAGACATAAATTAACAATCACTTCATCTAGGAAATACAGATAATAAAAAACAGGTTGGTTACTCCTACAAATATATACAGTCAATTAGATTCACAAAGTATGGACAGACTCAAACTTGGCAAGGAACAGACCAGACCTTTGAGGATATAGCACTGTTTGATATTACCGTAAGTTTATATAGAGGGGGGGGGGAAGGGGTGCCTTGATCCAAGGGACAGAAGCTACCTTTCTCTTGGATTATTTCCCATTCCCTGGGCACTGTAAGAGCCTTTTGGGTATAGTGCTTTCTCATGAATATAATATACAGAATGTTTGCTGCTGGTACTATCACCAAGGTTTTAATTATATTGCTGCTCTACATCACCAGCAAGTAGGGTAAAAGAGAGAGAGCGCCTTTATTAAGGTAGTATGTTGCTCCAGGAGAGCTTGATAGAGCTCTGCCTTATTGAAATGTCCTGAAGGCCTACTCTGCTGTCTTGTTACCTACAGTTGTTGGCACTGCCTTCATCATTCGCAAGTAATACTAGAGCATCACCAGACATTGTTACAGTAAAGTATTTGGAATTTTTACAAGTTGCATTATTTACAGCTATCACTAACCATCTGTAACAGAGCTTCTCCATGCTACCTGTTAATACATCTCACAGTTAACCAGTTATATATATCAAAGACGTCATAGTCTGAAATTTACAGTACAGATGCTGACTACTCATTTAAAAATAAAAAATTTATAAAATGTATTCCCTCAAGGATATAGCTTGAACCCAGGAATTTTACCTATCCACCCATTTTGTTGGATCAAAACTGATTCCCATAATTCCCAAGCACTATGCAACGGATTTAGTACTCACCTCCCATGAATGTAATAACATAGGTGAAGCTTGATGCCTGGGGTAATCAGGGTTTAGTAAGCATAAATTAATTTTATCTGTTATTGTTCTAAAGCTTTGTATGTTAACTTACAGTTAAGCTCTTTCCCCTGATTAAAATGAAATGTTAACCTATAACTTTTTCCATAACCATTTACTTCATGCTCTTGGTAGCAATAATTCATTAAATTAAAAGTCAGGGATTTTATATTTTGGGTAACTTAGTGTAATATTTGTCAATAATATTCTGTTAATTATTAATACAGTACATGAGGCATTAAGATTCTTTATGCATGTAAAATTTTTGAATTTACAGCCTCTCCTCACTTAATGACCGAGTTCTGTTCCTAAGAGTAGATTGATAAGTGAATTGATCGTTAAGTGAGAAGTAGTGTACTATACTGGTAGTGGGTTTGTGTCGACCTTCTTTAGATATTTTTTTAATATCAACTTTGCACCATTTATAACATTGTTAGTATACAGTGGTACCTTGGGATATGAAATTAATTTGTTCCTGAAGGCTGTTCGAGTGCCGATACTGAACAAATTTGTTCCCATTAATCCGTTTCAGACCCAAAAATACACTTACAAAAGTACTTCCATAAATACACTTGCATAATTGTTCAAGATTTGAGCTGTTTGTATCCTGAGGTACCACTGTACACATACCATCCGTCTTACGACCTGCTCGACATATGACCACCCGACTTATGACCGTGTTTTTTTATGCCAAATTTCTGGGAAATAAACAACTGTTGTACACAGTGTATATCCTAAACCTTACAGTATTAAATACAGTACTAACAGCATAAAAAGTAAAGTAAAAAATTAAATACCAAAATAAAACAATAAAATAGTCATCACAAAAATGCGATGTTGATATTCAGTAGTAAGGTTCGACTTGCGTCCATTTTGACTTATGACCAGTTGGTCGGAACCAAGCTCGGTCGTAAGTCGGATGGTACCTGTATTTTTAAATGTTTATATAGTAGTGTATTGTATACAGCCTCCTCATTTAACAACAGAGTTCCGTTCCTAAGGCCACGTCAGTAAACGAATTTGTTGCTAAGTGAGGAGCACACTGTAATGGTAGTGGGTTTGTGTCAGCCATCTTTGATATTATTTTAATGTCATCTTTGCACCATTTTAACATTTCTGGTATATTTTTAAATGTTTATACAGCAGTGTACTGTATATTGTAATACAGAATAAACAAAATCAGCTGTAATATACATTAGGTGTGCATACTGGTCAGAGAGCCTGTCGTAAGCCAGAGTCGTTGGTAAACGAGTATGTCGCTAAGTGAGAGGAGGCTGTACTTTAATAAACACAATAGAGGAAATTGGCTCTAATATACGTTACTTAGGTTTGCATATTGGTTGGAAAGCTGATCGTAACTCTTGAGTGGCTTGTAAACGAGTATGTCACTAAGTGAGGAGAAGCTGTATCCAATTTTTCTCACTTTTTAAGTTATAAATACTAATATTTTAATTGTTTCCTTACAGGGGGGTACCTTGATACTTGTGAAGGGCTCTTGCTCCATAAAAGTAGAACTGATCCTCATGGATCAGACCTGATGACCTTCTATTCCTCAGTCTGTATGAACCCTACAGCCTTAATACTTTGGAGGCAAAGAGGGGAATGTATGAGAGTATAGTTTTACCAACACTCTTATATGGGTGTGAAGCATGGGTGATGAATGTTGCAGCGAGGAGAAGGCTGGAGGCAGTGGAGATGTCATGTCTGAGGGCAATGTGTGGTGTGAATATAATGCAGAGAATTCGTAGTTTGGAAGTTAGGAGGAGGTGCGGGATTACCAAAACTGTTGTCCAGAGGGCTGAGGAAGGGTTGTTGAGGTGGTTCGGACATGTGGAGAGAATGGAGCGAAACAGAATGACTTCAAGAGTGTATCAGTCTGTAGTGGAAGGAAGGCGGGGTAGGGGTCGGCCTAGGAAAGGTTGGAGGGAGGGGGTAAAGGAGGTTTTGTGTGCGAAGGGCTTGGACTTCCAGCAGGCGTGCGTGAGCGTGTTTGATAGGAGTGAATGGAGACGAATGGTTTTTAATACTTGACGTGCTGTTGGAGTGTGAGCAAAGTAACATTTATGAAGGGGTTCAGGGAAACCGGCAGGCTGGACTTGAGTCCTGGAGATGGGAAGTACAGTGCCTGCACTCTGAAGGAGGGGTGTTAATGTTGCAGTTTAAAAACTGTAGTGTAAAGCACCCTTCTGGCAAGACAGTGATGGAGTGAATGATGGTGAAAGTTTTTCTTTTTCGGGCCACCCTGCCTTGGTGGGAATCGGCCAGTGTGATAATAAAAAAACATATTATGTTGTATAATAATACTAGTGTTTAAGGTATTGTTTACAATAGTTGAAGTTTGTTCTTGCTGTTGACTAAGAACATAGTTTGATTATCAGCATTAAAATGTGATAGATAAATAATGTTGCCCTGAACCACCTGTAAGATGTAAACAGCTTGTAGTAAATACATATTAATTTTCATGTAGAATGTGTCAAAAGTGTACTCTCATAGTTGTGAATGTTGGGTTTGCATTGATCAAGGTTACGAAGGTTTCTAAATAATCCACAAATTATAAATCAATTATGGATATTGGTCTTTCCCAGACCATTGTCAGTTAGAGAATGGTCTGGGAAAGATGCCTCGATGCTGGGTGAAGGGCTTTTGATCTAAGGAATTGGAGTCTCTCCTTCCTTTAATACATGTTCCCTAGGTTCTGTATAACCTTTGAATTTACCGCTTCATTATTAACACATTAATATCAAATCACACTGGCACTGAAAATTAATTTTCAGCTTGTGGGTTATTTATGAATTGTTCCAGTCATGTTTTAGTGGGTTGTGAGTTGTTTCAGCCATAGTTAAGTGGGTTAGTTATGAAATGTTTCAGCCGTAGTATAGTGGGTTATGAATTGTTTCTGCCATAGCAGAGCGAGTTGTGAATTGTTCCAGCCATAGTATTGTGACTTATTCTGAATAAAAATCACTTTGTTTCAGTAGTAAGATAAACATGTGTGACTCTAGTGAGGCTTTTGTTTTTAAGATAAATTTCATTTTCATGTTGAATTTGTTAATGATTTCTTAATGCAGAATGAGCTTTATGGATTTAGTTCTTTACATGAGTATAATAACAATATTAATAACGTTTCATGTCTGAATGTGGCAAATTTAAGGAAGATGAGTGCATAAGGATTTGTTCATATATAATTAAAGGGATTCCATGATACCCCCCTCCCCCCTTTTTTTCAGTATTGTTTTTCACCGTGCACTCTAAACCATGAACCAGTTATTTTTTTATTAAAAAAAAAAATTCTCGTGTTGTGTATAGCACATACTGGTTTTGGTTTTTTTATGTAATGTACTTAATATGGGTGTACCGTGATTGTAGTTTAAAGAGATATCAAAGTGAAAACTACTCAAAGTAGGGTTTAGTCCTTAGTAGTGATTGTAATAATTGTAATACTACTGCAAGTAGGGCTTTGCTGTGCAAATATTTATTCATGTCATGGCAAATTTAAGTAATGAATAATTGTGTTGCAGGGTGTGTAGTATAGAGAGTACTGTATGTGTGGTGGCATGTACTGATAAGACTCAAGATACATTGTTTGCTTGCCCTATGAAAATTCCTTCCTTCTTAATTAAAATATTGTATATTTTATTAAATACAGTGGACCCCCGCATAACGATTACCTCCGAATGTGACCAATTATGTAAGTGTATTTATGTAAGTGCGTTTGTACGTGTATGTTTGGGGGTCTGAAATGGACTAATCTACTTCACAATATTTCTTATGGGAACAAATTTGGTCAGTACTGGCACCTGAACATACTTCTGGAGTGAAAAAATATCGTTAACCGGGGGTCCACTGTATTTAATTGCATATGGCATTCTGCAGATTTATTTAAACCACAAGCCTACCAGTTATCTTCCCATCTATCCACAAGCCTGCCAATTCTCTCTTCCCATCTATCCACAAGCCTGCAAATTCTCTTCCTATCTGTCCACAAGCCTGCCAATTCTCTTTCCATCTATCTACAAGCCTGCCAGTTCTCTCCCCATCTGTCCACAAGCCTGCCAGTTCTCTCTTCCCATCTATCCACAAGCCTGCCAATTCTCTCTTCCCATCTATCCACAAGCCTGCCAATTCTCTCTTCCCATCTATCCACAAGCCTGCCAATTCTCTTCCCATCTATCCACTAGCCTGTCAATTTTCTCTTCCCATTATCCACAAGCCTGCCAACTCTCTCTTCCCATCTGTACAAGCCTGCCAATTCTCTCTTCCCATCTATCCACAAGCCTGCCAGTTCTCTTCCCACCTATTCATAAGCCTACCAGTTCTGCAGTATTGTCTGCCCACTTTCTGGGTAAAATGTCTGGTACCACTGCCAAACATAAATTACTATATATCAACAGTTTTCCTAGAATCCACACAAGAAAGATGCATATCAATCTAATAAACTATTTAAAGTATTCTGATGCTAGAAGTTCCCCTCAGTAATATTCCTCATCCTCATTGAGAAGCATTCCTTTTGCTTGAGATTTGAACATGAAGGTAGAGCATACTTTGTACTTCCCTCACCTACAGATTGCTGCCAACAATACTGCAGAAATATGAAATTTACAAGTTATCAGATTCATAAATATGGATTCCTTTGGATTTTTAGCATTTCCACTCCTTTTGTATGTGGGTTTAGTTAAAAAAAAAAAATTCGGAGTTCTCTTCCATTACTGAAATGTAACTAAAAAAAAAATCCTTATTTTTATTAGTGAAATCCTAATTCAGTTGTTTACATACTAGACGTAGTCAAAGATAAAAGTATAAAGCTGTGTTATTTTGAAAAAGCTTATGAGGAAAGTAGCTGGCCTCGTAAATTTATTGATTCCAGACATGGCTAAACCTGTAGAATGCAGCTTCTCAGTTTTCAAATGAATTAAAACTTGCACCAGAAATTCTCAAGGTAAATTTTTTTTTTTATCAATTGAAAGATAATTATTGCAAATTTTATAGAGCAAGTCAGAATTTTACAGTCAAGTTAATGATCATTTGCTCCAAAGTCGAGAATTCCATTGAACTATGTATCAATAAAACCTGACATTAATTAAGGTTCATACTTGGGTTTTATCAAAAAGGTTCGTTGTCATTTGCTTACTCTTGCAAGTTTTTTCATTACATGCCTGTGTGTGTGCGTGCGCGCGTGTGCACACACATTTTCAGTTGTATTACTAGAGCTACTTTTCCCTTCCTCAGATCAAACCTGATTACCTCCTATTTCCCAGGTGCTGTAAAACCCTTAACTCTCTGACTGTTTCGGCCATACGTTTATATACGTCTTACAAGCCAGTGTTTCAGACATACATGTATATATACTCAATAATTCTAGCGGCTTCAAATCAAGCAGGAGAAAGCTGGTAGGCCCACATGTGAGTCTGTGTGGTCAGTGTGCACTGTATAAAAAAAAATCCTGCAGCACGCAGTGCACAATGAGAAAAAACTCCAACCATGTTTTTGGATAAAAACTTCGAAGTGTATTTTCCTATAGTATTTATATTTGTATTCTCATTTTCTTAGTCTCATTTGATATAATGGAAAACATATTACAGAAATAGAGATGGTTTTGATTAGTTTCACGATGAAAACGACCTTGAAATTGAGCTCAAAGTAGCGAGACTGTTCAATTTTTACCAATGTTCAAGAGTAAGCAAATCACACCACACGTCCAATACACATCAACTGGGGAGTAATATTCTTTCACTAGTGCAATGATATTATTTATACCATTTTTACAATAATGCAGTAGTCTGCATAACAGTAAATCTTCTACTTTTTGTGTGAATAAAAAATCAAAATAGAAAGCAAGAGTAAGATAAGAGGGGCCTGGAGACGTGACTAATGAACAGAGGATGTGTTATAATTTAGTACCAAGAATGTCTGCATTGTTTATTCTGGACCCTGTTTTGAAATTCGCATCTTTTTTAATTCGCATCTTTTTTAATTTGCGTGAAATTGGCCAAATTGCCAATTTCTAACCACTTCATTAGCTAGTTGAAATAGGTAAATGGGCAATTTCTTGTACTCAATTGATAGAAAAAATGGAGTTCTAAAGAAATAGCTATGAGTTTGGTTGACTGGTACAATGAAATTGGCCGAAAATAAGGCTCAAAGTTGGCGAAATTGCCGATGCGTATATATCGCCAAGATCGCTAACTTCACAGGAGCGTAATTCCGTAAGTTTTCAATCAAATTTCGTACTTTTGGTGTAATTACTACCGGGAAAAGCTTCTCATTTCATAAGAATTTTTTTTTTTTTTTTTTTTTTTTCCCCCAAAAATTTTTCCAACACCAGGAGACACTTCAGGATTTGGGGTTGCGACAGTCAAAGGGTTAATGGATATAGCTCTTGTCCATTAATTTAATAATTTAGTGGTGTGATTGTGTTACTGCAGGATACAATATTCATTTATTAAAAAAAATAAGTTCCTAAATGGCCCTTTAAGAAGGAAGGTGGTGCCTTGATGCTGGTCATGAGTTCTTGATTCAGTGAATCTGGTCAGACCTGACAACCTCCCATTCCCCAGGTGCTGTACGAGCCCTAAAGGTTTACTACTTCCCCATCAATACAATAATAATAACAACAATAACGTACTTTATTAAAAGAAGGTTTTTGAACTTAGAGCCAGATCCTGAGACCTACTCATCTGTATCTCAAATTAGCTATACCCATGTGTAACTTTCTATTGTGTTCATCTGTAGTAAGGAATATAAATGTCTACTTCAAGTGAGGAGGAGGCTAGCTAGAGGGAGTAGATATATGTTTGAGACAAATATTGACTTTTGCGATTGATTTTATTATATTATCGAAAGCAGTGTGTGGTGTGACTGTCATGCAGAGAATTCAGTGCTTGGCAATTAAAATATGATGTGAGGCCAACAAGGGTATAATTCAGAGGGCAGTTTGGGCATGGAGAGGTGAGAGAGGGATAGGATAATGATATATGAATCTGATGTGGAAGGTAGGAGGAATATGGGTTGTCCCAGGAGTGATTGGAGGGAGGGGGGGGTGGTAAAGGAGGCTGAGTTTTAGTGGCTTAAGCATCCAGCAAGCTTGAAGTGATTCAGGGAAACTGGTTAGTGAGACTTGAGTTCTGGAGATGGGAGGAGCAGTGCCTACATTCTGAAAGAAAGGTGGTGATGTTGCAGTCAGAGGGTAACCTGAATTTATGATATCAGCACACTTCTAGCAAGACAGTGATTGAATGAATGATGTTAAAAGTGTTGTCTTTGGGTCACCCTCCCTTGGTGGGAGATGGCCTTTGAGGTAAAAAGACAATAAAGGGATATGTATGTACATTTATATAAAGCATCCTGAGTAGTAAATAAGCATTTCCTGAGTATGAAAGGCAAGGCCAGTGTTTTAAGTAATACATGTACTATATGTGTCCTGGGCACATACAGTATATATGTACTGTATGTGCCCTGGGCACATACAGTATATATGTACTGTATGTGTCCTGGGCACAACAGAGATTATGGTTGTCACTTCCTGCTGGCTGTTCCTGAGGAACAGCTGCAAGATGCATGCAAGAGGTCCTTGACTTACAAACACCCGAATCATGATGATCCACACTTACAAACGCAGTCTAAAAGACTAGATAGAGAAAATATTTATGAATGGCAATTTGCTGTGACAAACTTGTGGCATAATTATCCTTTTTATTACTGTTTTGTTGAGAATAATATGTCCAGGGTTGCAAGTAATGGGTTTTTAAGTTGGAATACCAGGAATGCAACTTATTTGTAAGCTGGGGAATCCCCTGCATCGACCAGGAGTCCCTGAGGTCCACTTAACTGAGTGAAGCCAAGGCCTCCTTGTAAGTGAACGTCTTATGTTCAAGCAAAATATTCAGTTTTGCTTGCCATTTAAGACTAGTGCAATATAATATATATTAAGGAAACAAATATTATCACATTTTATTCCAGGTGTTATGAAATTGTAGTGGAAGTAAAGTTTTCCAGTTTTGAAAGTACTGTATTATAATTTGATTTTGTTAAGGAGTAATGCACAAAACCTTAACTTGCAGTAGAACTTCAGCAGAAAGTTTATTTAATACCATAATTTAGTGGTTTTCAACCTATGGGCTGCAGATCCCAGAGAGGCTACAGAGTTATACCCAGGGAATTATGAAGCCTCACAGTAAATATTGCTACTCCAGCCAGAGCTTCATTTTTTTGTTGAACAGACCCTAAAATTATAATTTAGTATGTGGGAGTCAAAAAAAAAAAATTCAGGTTAAACATGGGGTTGTTCTCTTAGAGAGATTGGGAACCAGTGCTGTACTTGGATGAACATTAGTGTGCATCTCAAGAAATCAGAACTGTGTACACATGCACACAAGCACATGTACACATGCAGGCAAACATGTACACATGAACATACACATGAACATGTACACATGCACATACACACACATGTACACATGCACATGCACACAAACATGTACACATGCACACAAGCACATGTGCATATACACACAATTGGGGCCGGGAGCTTGGACTCGACCCCTGCAACCTCAACTAGGTGAGTACACAAACACATACACAGGTACACATACACATGCACACAAGCACATGCACACATCACAAACATGCATACACAGGCATGCACTTGCACACTGTTAGCCACTATACTGTAGACTTTTTCAACACCAGCTACAAAACAGTTACAAATACCTCCCTTCAGGGAATGTGACATAATGTTAGTGAAGCACTTTTGATCCAAGGGATTTAAGGTATTCTCTTCCTTAGATTGCACTTGATTAACTCCCACTCCCTTGGCAGTGTTCAATGCCTCCATGAAAAACAATAATCCAAATAGATAATTATATTCAACCTTGGGAATTAGGTTTTAATCTTATATCTAATGAAATGCAAATTTCATTTACTTTAAAGAATATCACCCCTCAAGGGAGATTTCTTATTGCTGGTAAGGGGCTCTTGATCTTGGGAATTGGATATATGCTCCAATTCTCTGAATTAAACCTAAATGCCTTCAATCACTGCCCCCTTCCCCATAGGTGCTGTATAATCCCTATGGGTTTAGTGCTCCCCCATGATCATGATACTTAATATCATGGGTGTTCAAAGCTATATTCTTTCATTTTAATGAAAATTTATTAATAAGGTTACAATATTAGAGGTAAACAGTTGTTTAATGTCTTACAGATGATGCAAATAGCTTCCATGAAGATAGTATAGTGTTGGATCTGATATTCTTCAGGAAGTGACGTATTTTCAATAATTTTTAAGTATTTCTCCTAAAGGAAAACGTAGTTGTAAATTATGTCTGATATTTGTGTAATGGTGGACATAAAGAAGTTATTTTAATTAGAATATCCCAATACAGATGAACCCCCAGAATTGTAAGGATTATGTTCCAGGAGTTCTTACAACTCTAGAATATATGAATAGTAAAAAAATTCTCTAACACTTGAATAATGAAGAACTGTGAATTTGGGGGTTGAGCTGTGTTTATAAAATTTAAGTCATGCATGACTTAACAGTAAGTTGTAGGTAGTTCCCATTGCACTGAGCATGACCTGTTGCATTCAGTATCTGTATAATGATGTTCTGCAAGTGAGCGGGGAGATGGAAGAAGAAACTGTGGAGGTGTAACGTGGAGGATCCAAGGTGGAGTAGCTGTGGCGGGGAGACGATGATGACGACAACGTGGAGCTCAGGGATGGAGAGAAGAGATGAGAAGTCCGAGTTGAGGGTGTGGTCATGGCGTCCTCTTCCACTACAGTCCTATTGGACAGCATTAAAAGGTTAGAAAAATTGTCATTGATATAATGGCTTTTAGTTATCAAGTTAATTTGCTTTATTTAAAAGTTATTACTTTAGTTTAATTATAAGGTAAATACAATCCAGTACAGTAGAACCTCGGTTTTCATGTGCCCTAGCTTGTATGTAAAACTATAGTTATTCTCTATAAAATGTATTTTTTGTTAATATTTCCCATAAGAAATAATGTGAATTCAATTAATCCATTCCAGACACCCAAAATATTAAAAAAAATACATTTTATAGAGAATAACTATAGTTTTACATACAGACTAGGGCATATGAAAACCAAAGTTCCACTGTATTCAAATCTATATACAATAAATTATACTCTTAATGAATTTGTGTACTCATGATATTAGATTAGTGTGAAATATTATACTAAAATATTGCACAATTATTTAGTTGAAAACCGCATTCGCTAAGTCAGTAGTGATCCTGTGTGAAGCTCATACAAATACATGCATGTAGTTTTAAATGTGAATCCTGTATCATTTCAGTGATTTATGTTGGAGAGAAATATAAATTGTTTGTTCAGCAAAGAGCTTAATGGGTTCTGTTGTATGAAAACTGTGACATACCGTACCATTGTTTATGTTAAACAATTAACATTCTGCTGTGTGACATGACAAATAAGGCTAGTGTTATACAAGTAATACTGTACTTCATGACATGATAAACAAGGCTAGTGTTACACAAGTAACACTGTACTTTCTTTACAGTCAAAACCAAACAACTTACTGGGCGAGATTTTGTATATCTTTAAAGAGGAATAAAATTACCAATATTACTGTTGGAAGTGGAACAATTAACAGCTAGCTTATAATGTGTATAGAAAGCAATAGATGATATTTTGGTCTGTCCTAGAGTAGGACAGACCTATAAGCCATCATCAAATTCCTATGCTCACTGTGGGTTACTTATGAATTGTATACCTTTAAGTACTGCAATTAAAACCTTGATAAAAGTTTAATTTCAGAGAATTTGTAGTGTTGAAATATTTTAGTATTACCAATTAGATACAGTATTTTAAGTTATCTTCATACAGTAGGTTAATTTTGAATTAAAATCTGTTAATTGATAACATCCAAATACAAACTAACATAATATGTACTGTAATTAGATGCTTATATTAATTGTATTTATGTTCTAAGTAAAGTTATTAATTCTCCAGGAACTGGAGAACTTGCTTAACCCATGGTGACCTTCAGTGGAAGGTAAGGGTGCTTGAATTCAGTGAAAGGATTTTGATCCAATCCTCTCAAATCAAACCTGATTGCCTCTTACTTCCCAGGTGCCATATAGCCCTTAAGTAACCCTTAAGTAAACCCTTAAGTATTTAATACTGCCCCATGAATATAATAATTAAGAATAGAGACTTCCTAAATTGGTCACTAAGTGAGCATAGCTAGTCTGTATCTTAAGAGAGCCTGATATATTTTATAGATAGTCCTTGAAAACAAAAATATAAATATTTAGCATTGTTGTGAGTCGTGGAACAATTTTTTAACTAGAGTGGCTGCCTTAAGAAAATATTTTGTGAACCCTTGTGAAAACTATGGCTAGTTAAGAAAACAGAGAAAGACTAGAGCAAATGTGAGTCCTCATGAGCCATGACAGCCAATAAACTTAGGCTTAACACTGACAAAACCTACTATATTATGTTTGGTAGCAGAGCAGGAGTTGCGCAAATTAACATTAAGATCGACAACGCTCTAATTGCCAGACATAATGAGGGCAAATCCCTAGGCCTATACCTTGACAACAACCTGAATTTCAGCATCCATATCCAACACATAACCAAAAAAGTATCTGAAACGGTTGGGATCCTCTCCAAGATACGATACTACGTGCCGCAAAATGCCCTTCTCACACTATACGACTCACTTATTTATCCATACCTCACCTATGCTATTTGTGCTTGAGGATCAACTGCAGCAACACACCTAAAGCCAATAATAACCCAACAAAAAGCCGCAGTAAGAATAATCACTAAATCCCATCCCTAGCAACACCCCCCCCCCCCCCCACTCTTCATAGATCTAAACTTACTCCCTGTTCAGTACATCCACACTTACTACTGTGCAGTCTACATCTACAGGACCTTAAATTCCAATATTAACCTTGACCTAAAACGCTTTCTTGATAGTTGTGACAGAACCCACAGGCATAACACCAGACACAAACATCTCTATGACATTCCCCGTGTCCGACTAAACCTTTACAAAAATTCAATGTATGTCAAAGGCCCTAAAATCTGGAACACCCTACATGAAAACTCTAGAACTGCAGACACATTCATCATCTTCAAAACTATCATTAGAAAACATCTTATCTCCATGATACACCCCGTCAACTACACGAATACCACCTGGTGGTTCACACTTACATTCACTCGCCCATTTGACCATAAACAGAAATATCAGTCTCAATCTTAAAATAATGAATCCTAACTAGTCATAATTTGGCCTGTGATACTCCAATACTGAAACTATGTACTGTGCCAAAACAAAAGCATTCACATTGCTAAACTCACAAACTAGCATTTAGTCACTTAGCCATAATACCAACTTACCTCATAATTTGTAATATTTTAAATTTAAGAATTAATCTAAGTCTGCCCAAAATGCCTAGCCATGCTAGGTGTTCTAGTGGTACACTCTGTAATTATTATTTTACTACATGTAAACCACACAGTAACCAAATTCTGTAAACTCAGCATTGTAATCCTTATAGAGAATAAACTTTGAATTGAATTGAATTGAATGGCTAGTTGAGAAACCAGAGGAAAGTTAGAACAAATTATGCGAGCCTTTGAAAACTGTGACCAGTTAGAGTAAGTTGTGACTGGACAATGGTTTAGGACAGACCAAAATATCCAAAGCTTATCCTCAATTTGTGGGTTATGAATTGTCCCATCTGTGGTACTGTGGGTTATATTCTTCATGTTTTCTTGAATTTTGTCAATAATGAATGACTACAGAGCACTTCGTGAGATTTTCTATCCATTGTTAGTAATGAATAGTTCTACAGACTTTGCCGCTCATAGTCAACTAGTTTTTAAGCTCCATCAGAGAGTGAACATCTTAAGAGAGAGAGAGAAGTGTATAACTGCAGTTATTACATCATTAGTGTAGACATCAGGTGCAGCTCAACCCTTAATTTGCAAAAGTTATGTTCTTACAGGTTTTATGAATATGAAAATTGCAAATACCAAAATTTTACCTGTTTAATCATTTTGTTTCAGGTTTGGGCTCATTTTGTGTTTCAGAGACCATCTCTAAATCTTGCTCTAATGTAGTTAATATTAATTTTCACCAGAATGAATGCCCAAAAAGAAATGATTGAATATAGGAAAGTCATTTAGCACATTTTAATGGAAATCCTATGATTATTCAATTTAGGAGTCGCATGCTAAAATAAAAAAAAAGGGGCATCACAAAAAAAGATCAATAACTGAAGTTATTCATGAGATATCTTTCAGTAAAAATGTGTTATAATTGAGTATCACAAAAATCAGTTTGCAGTTTTTGGGGTTTAATTGAAAAAAAATGTTTTTACTATGTAAATAAACATTAATATTACTTAGAAGCCATTAATAACATTAAAGCCTTTTAACTACACTGAAATACAGTCTTCCTTAGTGTAACACCATGCAGAATACAGTGTGTAGTTGCTCACTCTTGTATAAGGAATCTTCCTTTGTCTCCTCTGCCCAAGCTAAAGATGGTATAGATGTTAGCTATTGTAGTTTTTATATATAAAAAAAACAATGGGACAGGAATGGGATTTAAATACCTTGCTCAGTTATACTTTTTAACAATAGGACAGGAATGGGATATAAATACCTCACTCAATGCTTGGAGTTGCTTCCAGGAATTTTTACTATTACAGTGATGACTGTAGCTATGATTCTCAACTTCTAGGAGGCAAAACCAAACATTTGATTCTTGTGATTCTTGTAAATGACAGAGATTTACTGCACTAACTTTGTGAATTTCCTTTTGCATTTGTGCTAACACTTAAGACTATCACCTCTTTCCCCTATACAGAACTATCAATCTTACTCTTACCATACAGTGATGAATGATCTTTATAGACTCAGTGCTTTCCATGTTTTTATTATTATTATCACACTGGCCGATTCCCACCAAGGCAGGGTGGCCTGAAAAAGAAAAACTTTCACTATCATTCACTCCATCACTGTCTTGCCAGAAGGGTGCTTTACACTACAGTTTTTAAACTGCAACATTAACACCCCTCCTTCAGAGTGCAGGCACTGTACTTCCCATCTCCAGGACTCAAGTCCGGCCTGCCGGTTTCCCTGAACCCCTTCATAAATGTTACTTTGCTCACACTCCAACAGCACGTCAAGTATTAAAAACCATTTGTCTCCATTCACTCCTATCAAACACGCTCATGCATGCCTGCTGGAAGTCCAAGCCCCTCGCACACAAAACCTCCTTTACCCCTCCCTCCAACCTTTCCTAGGCCGACCCCTACCCCGCCTTCCTTCCACTACAGACTGATACACTCTTGAAGTCATTCTGTTTTGCTCCATTCTCTCTACATGTCTGAACCACCTCAACAACCCTTCCTCAGCCCTCTGGACAACAGTTTTGGTAATCCCGCACCTCCTCCTAACTTCCAAACTACGAATTCTCTGCATTATATTCACACCACACATTGCCCTCAGACATGACATCTCCACTGCCTCCAGCCTTCTCCTCGCTGCAACATTCATCGCCCATGCTTCACACCCATATAAGAGCGTTGGTAAAACTATACTCTCATACATTCCCCTCTTTGCCTCCAAGGACAAAGTTCTTTGTCTCCACAGACTCCTAAGTGCACCACTCACCCTTTTCCCCTCATCAATTCTATGATTCACCTCATCTTTCATAGACCCATCCGCTGACACGTCCACTCCCAAATATCTGAATACATTCACCTCCTCCATACTCTCTCCTTCCAATCTGATATCCAATCTTTCATCACTTAATCTTTTTGTTATCCTCATAACCTTAGTCTTTCCTGTATTCACTTTTAATTTTCTTCTTTTGCACACCCTACCAAATTCATCCACCAATCTCTGCAACTTCTCTTCAGAATCTCCCAAGAGCACAGTGTCATCAGCAAAGAGCAACTGTGACAACTCCCACTTTGTGTGATTCTTTATCTTTTAACTCCACGCCTCTTGCCAAGACCCTCGCATTTACTTCTCTTACAACCCCATCTATAAATATATTAAACAACCACGGTGACATCACACATCCTTGTCTAAGGCCTACTTTTACTGGGAAATAATTTCCCTCTTTCCTACATACTCTAACTTGAGCCTCACTATCCTCGTAAAAACTCTTCACTGCTTTCAGTAACCTACCTCCTACACCATACACCTGCAACATCTGCCACATTGCCCCCCTATCCACCCTGTCATATGCCTTTTCCAAATCCATAAATGCCACAAAGACCTCTTTAGCCTTATCTAAATACTGTTCACTTATATGTTTCACTGTAAACACCTGGTCCATGTATATACAGTAATATAGTAATGATAATGAATGTTGCAATTTAGAGGGTTTGAATTGTGCTATCTACATACCTCTGGAAAAATTAGCTGTTGAATGAGTGATAGTGAATGTGTTTCCTTCTTTGGATTACTCAGCCTTGCTGGGTAATCCAAGTTAGTAAAGAAATTACACTGCATAAGAAGTAAAGGGATTATTTTTCTAAGTCAAAGATCATAATTGATAAAAAGAAAAGTAACTGGTATAAATATTGATCACTGAAATTCTATTGCTACATTTCTGGAATTGGGAAAAATTATACTGAAATATATAATTAAATGGCATTAAAAACTAGTAATTGATACAAGATGTTCCATAAGATTTTTTTTTTTTTTTTTTTTTTTTTTTTTTTTTTGCTGTAGATATATTGGCAAATGTAATACAGGTCTCCCTCAACATTCGCTAGGGTTAGGGGATCAAGAGCCTCGCGAATGTTGAAAAACCGTGAATGTTTGGTGCCCCAATATATTGTAGGGAAATATATTACAATACTGCTTCCTTAACTTGTTGAACCATGATTAATCATAAAATAAATGAAAACGTCGTAAATTGTACTAAATATATACATGTTATGCTTTAATAACGTATGTTATTTAATAACATGTATGTTAATAACATGTATGTTATTAAATACCACAGACCACCACTGCCTCCACCACTGCGAGTCCCTACTACCCTCCCTCCGACCCCCGCAACTGGCAGCCAGCCCTCCCACCACTCAGTGTGGTGAGTGTTTTGTTTGTTCATTATTTGCTATTAAACTACAGTATAAATAATGTAAACCCATTCATGACTGCATATTGGAATGGCTATTAGGAAAGGTATTAGACGGTGACATCATGTGTTTACTCTTGAACACTGCAAAGAATCGAACATTTCTGCTATTGCTAATAATAACAATAGTAATAATAATAATAATAATAATAATAATAATAATAATAATAATAATAATAATAATAAATACGATATAATTGAAGAAGGAAATTGTACAAAAATACGAGGGAGTGGTTGACACATCGTCAGTGTGACTTTGTTTATGCTGGAGTGAACATTAGTCTCCCTGCTCTTCCAAACATTTCACAATAATTCAGCAGTTGAGGCAGTGGTATTTAATAACATATATGTTCTAAATAATAATAGTACATGTTATTATTAATAACATGTATTATTATTAACATGTATGTATTTAATAACATGTTATAAATAATAATAGTACATATTATTAATAACATGTATTATTATTAACATGTATGTTATTAAATACCATTGCCTCAATCACTGCCTCTACCACTCCAGTCACACTCAATCTACAAGCACCAAACACAATGAATTATTGTGAAATATTTGGAAAGAGCAGGGAGACTAATGTTCACTCCAGCATAAACAAAGTCACACTGACGATGTGTCAACCACTCCCTCGTATTTTTGTACAATTTCCTTCTTCAATTATATCATATTTATTATTATTATTATTATTATTATTACTATTGTTAGTATTAGCTGTAGCAGAAATGTTTAATTCTTTGCAGTGTTCAAGAGTAAACACATGATGTCACCGTCTAATACCTGTCCGAATAGCCATTCCAATATGCAGTCATGAATGGGTTTGCATTATTTATACTGTAGTTTAATAGCAAATAATGAACAAACAAAACACTCACCACACTGAGTGGTGGGAGGGCTGGCTGCCAGTGGGGATCGGAGGGAGGGTAGTAGGGACTCGCAGGTGGCGGGAAACTTAAATATGATTTGGCGGCTGGGAATTTGGTGGCTGGGAATTTGGCGGTTGGGAATTCGCGAATGTGTGAAGCCCGTGAAAGTTGAAAACGTGAATGTTGAGGGAGACCTGTACATGCAAGACCCTTCAAGTGGATACCTTGATGCTGGTGAAGGTTACTTGATTCAAGGAATTTGAGTCACTTTACCTTTGGATTAAACTTGATTACCTCCTGTTTCCCAGGTGCTGTATGACTCCTACATGAATGGTATATAATATCGACAAGATGAAGAATTAGACATGTGCAATATTTGGGTATCTTTATTTGTAGACATTTCACCATCCAGTGGCTTTATCAATACAATACATGGACATAATGTGAAGAAAGTAGAACTATTTACCAAAAAAATGAGATACTGTAATGAGTCCCTCGAGACTGGTGTTCTTCACCAACTCCAAGTTCTACAGTCTTCACATTATGTCCTTGTATGTACAGCCTCTCCTCACTTAGTGGCATACTCGTTTACCAATGACTCAGACTTACGACAGGCTCTCTGACTAGTGTGCATACCTAAATAATGTATATTAGAGCTGATATCCTTTGTTCTGTTTATTACAATATACAATACACTACTGTATAAACATTTAATAATATACCAGAAATGTTATAAATGGTGCTAAGGCAACATTAAAACAATATCAAAGATGGTTGACACAAACCCATTACCATTATAGTATGCTCCTCACTTAGTGACAAATTCGTTTACCGACGAGGTCTTAGGAATGGAACTCCGTCGTTAAGTGAGAAGACGCTGCATTGTATTAATAAAGCCACTGGATGGCGAAACGTTTATAAATAAAGGTACCCAGGTGTTGCACGTGTCTATTTATGCTGAATGACTCTTTTAGGTTTCATTGACCATAAATATGAAAATAATGCTACTCTTTATTAAAGTGAAAAATTATATTAAAATGTATAATTCAGGGATCTACAAGAAGTAATTTTTACATGAAGCTCCCTAAACTTATGCTTTTGTATAATATAAATACAATGGCAGTTTTATTACATGTATGGTAAGAATAGTTATAATGTTTACTTGAGAGTCAGGAAGACATTGATAGCTGAAATGTATTGTAGAATTAAAGGAGACTGACCTGAGATAATGCATGCAAGTGCAACATTAAATACTTGAGGCCAGGATAATACAAAAGTAAAATGTTATCGATTACAATTAGTTTAATGCAAACTTATTAAAACAAGCACATACAAAGAGGAGTTGAGGGAAAAATCAGATTAATGGACAGAACTTGTAAGTATAATAACAGCTTTGGGTGTCTTGGTTTTATTTAGCTCCCTTGTTCAAATAGAGAAGAGAGGTGGGGAAGAGAAGGAGGGAACTAAAAAATAAAGCAAAAAGGGTGGGAAATTAAGTTAAAATAAAAAATTGGAGGCTTTAAAAAAAAAATAAAAAATTGGAGGCTTTAAAAAATTAGCAGAGTAGTGGTTGGTTGGGTGATCAAAGGTAACTGGTCTACTCCAAGAAAGATAGGATGATTATTGACAGCAAGTAAAACGTTGATGAACTAATGAGAATGATTGGTGAATGTTATAAAGCTTCCAAAGCATAAAGGGATAAAAGTTAAAATGCATAGCACATACATAGGCTACTACTCACCACTGCACAATGGACGGGGCTACCTCGCAGGAAAACCACCATTTACAGATCATCTGTGGGAGTATCTACTGCTCATAGAAAGACCTTAAAGGTCATTTGTAAGTGCACTATTTCACTGTTACTTCTACTTATTGATAGTGATGACTACTGCAGATGGTAGTTGCACAAGAGTACTGCTAGTAATGCTGCTACTGGTGATGACTGTGAGTGATATACTGCTGCCAGGCCTGATGAAAGGTTCAGCCATGGCACCACCACATGAAAGTCTCAAGGCACCCACCTTGCTGCTGAAAAGCGGCGCGTGGGGTCTTGCAGCTGTCGCCGGTACTCACTACCAGGTCGAGCTCGAGCATCTGCTGGTGGAAGGTCCATTGTATTTGTGCGCCGGTATACAGGCCTTATGGCCAGTCCTGGGTTATTGCTTGATTGTACAAATCCAGGTAGTGATTCTCCCAGGTGGCCAGTAGTATTGGTGCGACGATAAGCTCGCTTTTCACTCATGTCTCCGGTGTTAGATACCCTAGATAAACCCCCTCGGTTCCAGCCAGACAGTCCGCTGGTGCCAGATATACGAGTAAGATGAGTAAGTCGTCGTGACAGTTCTTCTCGAGCAAGGTTGCGGGTGTCATCGCGGGAGGGAGTTGAGCAATTTGTAGGATCAGGGCTTCTTAGGCGACTGACTGACGGTTCACGAGATCTACTGCTTCCCCTCTCTGTAACGCCATCTACTGTTGCCACGACAGCTGCTGCTTCTCCAGCCAGTGCACCAGCAGCTGCTGCAGCAGCCACAGCATCATGTACTTGTTCATTACCCAAGTCACTAACATTTGCTGGGCTAGATGGGTGCATTTTGAAATTACTAGGGGGAACAGATTTCATATGACTTTTAGATGAAAACTCGTTTGAGTTCATAGAAGGTGCTCGATGAGTATAAGAAAGATCCTCAGGTGGAATAGATTTCATGCGATGACGTATTGAATAATCCTCTAGAGGCACTGATGGTGCACGTTGGGTGTAGAAACGATCTTCTGGGGGCAATGATGGCAATCGGCGAATAATTTGTACATCATCTGGTTGGATGGATGTGAAGCGTCGTACACTAGACAGCTCGTCGGGTTGTAGAGATGTGCCACGTCGCCCACCTAACAGCAAGATACTTGGATCCTCCGGGGGTAGTGATTTTCGAGAATGTCTTCGCGAGCTTTCCCAAGAAGGAGGAGAGGTAACGGAAGCTCTTGGAGAGGTAACTGGCGAGCTGTATCGAAAGGGACTGAGTGACTCTCGTACTGCACGCTCTGTGTCCTCTTTCATGAGACGAGCCTTTGCTGCTGCCAATTGTTGATCCATGTCTTCCTTTGTATTTGCTCGACGTAGTTTTGGTTTCTTTTTTTCTTGAAATTTGGAATAATAGCTTTTGCGTGTAATTCTATCCATGACACTTTCATCTTCATTTTCACTGTGTCCTCGCATGTCTTCATTTCCTGTTATGGGAGAGATTACTGGTTTTGCTGAGGTTTGACATCCATCTTCTGAATGAATAGTATCCTCATTACCATCCAGTCTCTTAATCTGAGCATATTTGACTCCATCCTTCTCATTACTGGGAATGTGATTTGTATCTATTGTCTTATTTTCTACTATCTGTGTTGAAGGTTTAGGGGTGTGATTATCCATATTTGCAGCAGCCAAATCAAGGTTGGTAGGACGAGCATTTCTGCGACTTGCCAGTGCTGGTGACAGTCCATAGGTAGTAATTGAAGCTGTAGATGAAACTGTGGGAATAACTCTTGAACTCCCACTTGGTCTCGCCCCGACCCCAGAATCCTGGACACCCATATTTCCAATACGTGAAGTAATATCACTTTCGAGCTGAGACAGATGGTCACAGATGCTCTTTGTAACAGATTCAAGAGTATAACCAGGTTGCAAATTAGCTGCACATCCCTGTGGGACAACACTGTGAGCACGCTCTGTGAGTGGGGATCCTGTACCTGTTTCACCTCCCTCTTCCACACGGCTCAGATTCTCTTGACTCTTAGAAAATTTTTTACCTTTCGCACGAGGAGGTTTCTTAGGCTGCTCTTCCTCAGCATTAGTCATAGGTATTGAAGGTTGAGACATTGTATGCAGAGATGTTCGGGAATCTTCCTTCGTGTCTTTACGCCCCAAAAATTTGTTAAGTGCATCTGTCAGTTTCTTTGAAGGTTTTCTTTCAGGTCGATCTGAGTCGTCTAATGCCCCTTCTCCATCACACACACTAGATTTAGATGAGCTCTTTTCTGCCTTGTGTTTTAAAAACCGTGAGGGTCTTTTCAGTCTAAATTTGTCATCTTTTTCACTTGCATCATCAGCCTCAGGCCGTTTATCTGCTACTAATCGACTGTTATCGGAAACATTGGAGCCAGATCGATTAAAACGAGATGCTATCAACTTATACATGGATTTAGGTTTTTCTGGCTCACAAGAGAGTGTCTTTTTAACTTTAGCTTTCTCCTTTTCATTGTCTTTTTCTATACTTCTTTCTTCATCTTTTTCACTTTCCTTTTGATTTTCTTGTGTTTTTTCTATTGTATTTCCCTTTGTCCTGCCTTTGTCTCCATGGCAGCTTAATTCAGTATTCTTTCCTTTATCATGTATTATAGGCTCTTCACTCTTGCCACTTTTTCTCTCTTTTCCTACACTTGGTGTTGTTGGACCTATGTTAGCCACTAATGGGGTATGATTTGCAGCTCGTTCGGTTGATGGTGATTTTACATGCTCAAATTTTTTCTCAATGTTTGTTCTTGCTTTTTCAAATGGTGATTTTACATAGTCTGGAGCAGGTGGAGATTTCAATCTCACGGGTGGAGGCTCTTTCTTAAGCGTGTCTATGGGTAATTCACGAGATTTAGTGCGTCGGTAAGCTTCAAAGGGCGATATCCGTTTCAGCGTACTGGAATTTAGTTGGCTAAGTTTCTCCCCAGCAGCTTCAATAGCTGGTGTTAATTCTTTGGATTTGCTTTTTTGGTATGTCTTTGGTTTCAGTAGTTCATTTGAGCCTTTTGTGCTTGTGCTAGTGGTGCTGTTTCCACCGTAGCTGCTGCGAGTGCTGATACTGCTTCGACTGTTACTTTTTACGGGGATGCCACTGTTTGATCGACTTGTTACAATGTTGTTGTTATTTTGCCCACTGTTTGGGCTGCTGTTGATCAACTTACATGTAGTGCTTGCCTTTGAATCAATAATGTTTGATGCTAAGTTGGGATTTTTCAGTATCGTTTCTTGAGTGGTAATATTTTCATTAATGTTCTCATTATTATTTAAACTATTTTTGCTAGTGTTAGAATTAACACTTTGGTTTTCAAAATTTTTGTTTGCTATACCCTTAACATTTATTTCATTATCTGATTGTTTTGTGTTGGGCACCTTTGTATTTGTTTTAATATCTGATAATTGATTGGGACTAAAGCCAGTACGAGCAAGTGTAGTTTTATTGTGTGTCAATTCGAGTTGTGCTAAATTGTCAGTGGTTTGACATGGATCATCAGCTTTGCCTTCTTGATATTCACATACATCACCTCTGCCACGAGACCGTCTGTAGGCATCCAAGGCAGAGTTTTCAACATTTTTAACAATAGTATTACCGGATTTTAACCAGTCTTCTTTAGAGGCCAAAGCTCTGTGAATGCTACCACCATCTGCAACACCATCACTGCCAGAGGGACTAATAGCTCCCTCTCTACAGATATCCAGAATAGTGTTATAACCAATATGGTCACTGTGTGATGGGAGGATAGAACGCGCACGGTTCTTGCGCTCGGCAGCACAAATGTCAGTATGGAGCTGTGGAATATTGCTTGTGGATGCACTGTTTGAGGGTGTGACATTTGCTACATTAGTTGTGGTAGTGCAGCCTGTTGATGTATCATCATTTCTACTGGTCATTGTTGCATTGTGTGAGGCTTCAGCATTTATTAACTGGTTGTCTAAATCCATGTTTTTTCCTGTAATTGATTGTTCGTTGTTTGTTTTCAGATTTTTATTCAAGACTGAGGGTGTTCTCTGGTGTCCAGAAATAGTGCCTGAATTTGCTAGTGAGGATGAGGATTGAACTGGTGTGCAAGAGAGATGTAGTGCTGGGTTAGAGGAGTATATTGGCTTACTGGATGAGTACATTGTGTTTGGGGAGTAAATTTGTGTTGAAGTTTTTGATGTGCCAGGATAAGGGACATGTGAATCGTGAGGTGATGAAAATTTGTCACACTGAACATTGTTGCCTCTCACTTGTTGTTCAGGTGGTACAGGCACCTCAGGAGTTTGATCATCTCCAGCTTCAAGCTCTCTAACAAGCTGTTTCAGTTGCTCTTGTACAGTTTGCTTAAGAGCTTCTGTGTCCTCAGGTGACTGCTGTGTGTGGCCGCCGAGGGAGTGTTGTGGTGTGCCTAGGTCTCTCTGCACACCAATATGAGCAGCAGTACTTGGAGGTACTGGTCTCTGTAACTGCTGCTCATAGTGCCCACCATCCCTCCCAATATATTCCCCCGGCGGGCCACCCACAGTAGAGTGGGGGCGGCGATGCGGGTTACGCAGTGTTCCATACATTGCTGCTATCCGATCTGCTGAGTCATGCATGCTTCTGTTTTGATGTAGATTTCCACTGCTATTTGCTGGATATGGACGGGGAAGTGACATGCCACCGCCTGGGTACCCTCTACTACCCATCATTCCCAGTTCTTCATCGGGTATGTTAGGTAGCTCTCGGGAAGGTCCTCGGGAATATTGTGGTCGCCGACCGAGTGAACGAGCTGAGGCCTCTGATGTATCAGACTCTGCCCCATCTTCACCGCCTGACCATCGGGAAGCTCGCCATCCTGCAGGGATACATAACAAGCAGAAGTGGCTGTAGGTAAGTTATGTTGATACAGTATTGTACTGTGCTTGTAATAAACCACTCAACTTTTCAAGGCTTTCTACTTGGTATTAACACTGCTCAAGGTTTTCTTTCAGGCAAATTGTCAATTTTGTTTTAACTTTGAGCATCATAGTGTAAAAATTTTCAAGTACATATTTAACTGCTGAGCAAGACACATGAGCAACACTTGGGTATCTCTGTTGAAACATTTAACCTGGAGGCAGTGGAGATGTCATGTCTGAGGGCAATGTGTGGTGTGAATATAATGCAGAGAATTAGTAGTTTGGAAGTTAGGAGGAGGTGCGGGATTACCAAAACTGTTGTCCAGAGGGCTGAGGAAGGGTTGTTGAGGTGGTTCGGACATGTAGAGAGAATGGAGCGAAGCAGAATGACTTCAAGAGTGTATCAGTCTGTAGTGGAAGGAAGGCGGGGTAGGGGTCGGCCTAGGAAGGGTTGGAGGGAGGGGGTAAAGGAGGTTTTGTGTGCGAGGGGCTTGGACTTCCAGCAGGCATGCGTGAGCGTGTTTGATAGGAGTGAATGGAGACAAATGGTTTTTAATACTTGACGTGCTGTTGGAGTGTGAGCAAAGTAACATTTATGAAGGGATTCAGGGAAACCGGCAGGCCGGACTTGAGTTCTGGAGATGGGAAGTACAGTGCCTGCACTCTGAAGGAGGGGTGTTAATGTTGCAGTTTAAAAACTGTAGTGTAAAGCACCCTTCTGGCAAGACAGTGATGGAGTGAATGATGGTGAAAGTTTTTCTTTTTCGGGTCACCCTGCCTTGGTGGGAATCGGCCGGTGTGATAATAATAAAAATAATAAAAAAAATAGTAGCCTTCTTCAGTTATATACAGAGGCAGTAGGTGTAGTAGTGAAACCATGATTTAATCAGTCTATCAGTTGTTGCACATGCATCTTACTCATCAACTTGTCAGTATTTTATACAATTTTCAACACAAATATTTAACTACAATATATTATTACGATATGGGTAAGATTAAAAGCACAGTACATTATTACAATTTGGTTAACAAGATTAAATTATTAAATTTTACTTCAGATTTCCTTTAGTGCTGTAGTCTTTAATCGTAAATAACAAATCAAACTAATATTTTGTAACCATTAAAAATTACAAATTTAATGTCAAAGAAAGGAAATTATAATAACAATATTCATGTTTTTTAATATTGTCTTAGCTTATCACAAGAGAATCTTATGCAAACTATCACATTTCATCATGTTACTTACCTCTTGTACTCTGCTATTTTGTGCAATAAAAAAATTAATTTCACATATTCAAATGGAGCACATTATGCTCCCATTGGTCCATTCATTAAGCACTTTCCCTTTTTCACTTAACCCAAAATTATACAGTTAAACTTTGTTGATCAGAGAAGGTTTTGAAACCTTATAATTTCAATAACACAGTACGATCTTGATAACCCAGACCTTGGGACTCAGCAGTTTCCTGACTGAATTTTTTCATCATTATAGTCAAACATTTACTGTACACCTGTGAACTACCACTAATTTAGATTACATGAAGTTTTAGTTTGCATTATTGGGTGGAGGGGGCATAATGTATGCATTCTAATATCATGGTAACTACTAAACATCCTGAAAGTACTCCTGTACATCAAGATGCATAGTATATAGTGCTCCTGCAGTAGGCATCATAAACACAGTATACAAGCACATAAACTAGTTACACACAATGAAAATGCTTACCACAATATATTGTTTTAAATATAAACTACTGAAATATGTATGGGTTATTCACTTAACCTAGTATTTCATAGGATTACCCCTTATCTTGTACTCCTTGTATCTTCTAGGCATTAATAAAGGTAAAGTATGGAGGATAGAAGAGTCAGTATTCTCCCACACCTGCTAAATGGCACTTGAGCGTTTGAGAATAATGGACATGTCCATGCCACGAAACTTGATAAGCTTCCACATGTTTTCTATTGAATTTTAAGTTCAGTGAGTTACCAGGCCAGTTATTTAAGAATGAAATTTTACAATTATTTAGCCAGTCTTTTATGTGTCTCACGAAATTGTAATAACTTGATTGCATTATGCAGTGGTACCTTGGGATACGAACTTAATTCATTCCAGAAGGCTGTTCAAGTGCCAATACTGAACGAATTTGTTCCCATAAGGAATAATGTAAATTAGATTAATCCATTTCAAACTCCTAAAAATACACTTACAAAAGCACTTACATAATTGTTTGAGTTTTGAGCTGTTCGTATCCCGAGGTACCACTGTACATTCATACATTCCCTCTTTACTTTCATGGATAAAGTTCTTTGTCTCCACAAACTCCTCAGTGCACCACTCACCTTTATTTCTTTCTGTGGAGACAAAGAACTTTATCCACGAAAGCAAAGAAGGAAATGTATGAGAGCACAGTGGAACCTCAACTTACGAGTTTAATCCGTCCCGTGACCTAGCTCATAACTCAATTTGCTCATATATCAAATCAATTTTCCTCATTTAAATTAATTGAAATGCCACTAATCCGTTTCAGTGGAATTCCTGCTATCGGGAGGCAGGACAAAATACTTCAGTATAACACTAATATCAACTCTACGGCTTATTTATCTATCACAATTGATCTAATATGACATAAACATTATAAATAATGTAGAAATATGATATATAATCTAGAATGAATAAAATGTCATCATGTGATGAGTGGTGGCAGCCTTTCCCACTCCCACTCTGACCATATCTTCCCCATGCTCTTATTATATGAGAAAATGGAGTGTTTGTGAGGCTAACTGCAGTAGATCACTAGTTTCATAAGGAAAACACTGAAACAGTGTACTGTATTTATAATAAATATTGTATAAAAACATAATAGATAATGTAAAGAAATAAACTGGTTTTATGAAGTGTAAGTACATATTTCCTAGGTAGTAGGTTGGTAAACAGCAACTGCCCAGGGAGGTACTACCATCCTGCCAAGTGAGTGTACAATGAAAACCTGTAATTGTTTTACATGATGGTAGGATTGCTGGTGTCTTTTGTCTGTCTCATAAACATGCAAGACTTCAGGTATGTCTGTTACTTCTACTTGCACTTAGGTCACAATTCACATACATGTACAAGCATATATATACACACCCCTCTAGGTATTCTTCTATTTTCTTTCTAGTTCTTGTTCTTGTTTATATCCTCTTATCTCCATGGGGAAATGGAACAGAATTCTTCCTCCGTAAGCCATGCGTGTTGTAAGAGGCGACTAAAATGCCGGGAGCAAGGGGCTAGTAACCCCTTCTCCCGTATAAATTACTAAATTTAAGAGAAACTTTAGTTTTTCTTTTTGGGCCACCCTGCCTTGGTGGGATACGGCCGGTGTGTTGAAAGAAAGAAGTACATATTTACCTTGGAAAGAGATGCTGGCAGAGGTTGAGGGTGGAAAAGATAGGCAGAGCGGTGTATGCCATCAGTGGCCCTATAAACAACAACAACATTGGAGGAGTTAGTTTCGTTTCGTCCTTTTTCTATTGCATAATCGCTGAACTTACTTGCTACACTCTTAATCCTACACTTTATCGGTGAACTTAATTGCTACAATTTCCTTTTATTTATTTTTACTTCAATTTCACTAATTTTTGGCTTTTTCTCCATGCTTTCCTCACCTTCCTTCACTTTCACTCTATCATCATACCTGATAACAGAGTGAATGCTGGTCCTCCTATTAAAATTGTCGAACCAGCCCTGACTGGCTTTAAGTGACTTTTCCAATGCCTCGTCTGTTAAAGTGCCTGGGGTCTTCTGCAGCAAATGAGCAATAAATACCTCATGCCTTCTCGTAGAAGATACCCTCCGGTATCTCCTGCATGCTGTTTCTCTGTCAGCCACGTCAACAGCAGCTTCTCCATCTTTTTGTGGACAGAGGTCCACGGCATAAAAATTGTAAAGTAAAAGGACACAAGTGCAACTAATGTGACATTTATTGTGGCAACGTTTTGCTCTCCAGGAGCTTTATCAAGCCATTACAAACAATACATGGACACAGAGGGTATATAAAGGCTCAGAGTGAGGTGTAATACTAGTGAGGTACCATTTCGATGTTCACTAGTGGTGGTAGTAGTAGTAGTAGCAGTAGTAGTAGTAGTGGTAGTGACAAAAGTAATACAATATGGTAGAGCAATTAATTCGTACATGAGTAAAAGGATATAAAAGCTATTACTTGGGTAACATAAAAATAGGTTGGACAAATATAGACTGGAATGAGGCAGCTTGTTTCAGTGTTCACTCTCTGTGCTTTGTGTAGTATAACAGGAGAGACTATGTGATGGCAGGGTTTACTGTTTTCAGGAGGATTCTTGCTAAGACTTCGGAGATGGTGAAGCTGCCGTTGTTTTGTTTAATTGTATTCGAAACAGCGATCAGTGCTGATTCGAGGCACTTGCGTCTGCGGAAATTAGTTTCTTTGATCACTAATTGGGCATCTCTGAATTTCATGAGATGATTGGTGGAATTTCGGTGTTGTACACAGGCATTGTTCAGGTTATCGTTCCTACATGCGTAAATGTGTTCATTGAGGCGGGTGTCGAGGTTTCTGGCTGTTTCACCTACGTAAATCTTGTCACAGCCTTCACAGGGTATAGTGTAAACTCCATAAACACAATATTCCTCTCAGACCAATCACGTCAGGAATAGGCAGTGCTCCACACAAACTAGCCGGAGTTCTTGCCAAACATCTTTCCTGCCTTCTGGGGACCATCAGCCCCGCTCATCTTAAACAGTCAGGTGACCTTCTCAACCGCATCCGTAACCTCTCCATCCGTAACAAGAAACTAAGCAGTTTGGATGTGACTTCCCTCTTCACAAAAGTACCTACCAAAAAAGCCATCGAGGTTCTGCGATGTAAAGTCAATCAGGACCTTAATCTTCCTCTACCTCCCGGAGATTTTGTTGACTTAATTGAACTCTACAAACAAA